TTCATCATCACCGACTCTTTCCAGGGAGGGAGATTCCACAAACTCTTCGCTCCACAGGCACTGCTTCTTTTACAGTTCTGCCATCTGTATGCCACGCTAGCATCTGTTTAACTTAAGCAACATTAATTTGGGCAGGGTGGCATTTGCACGTGGAGGCGTGGACCTGAACAGATGTGCAGGTATCAAGTATGTGCTGCGGCAAAGACCGGGATCAGTGAGTGTGGCCAAGGTGAAGGGCGGGTTCAGAGGCGGCGAGGCAGCCCGGGGAACACAGCCCGCCGCGAGAGGCCCACAGGGCGTGCTAAGGCGTGGGTGTTTCTCACGGCCCCGGCCAGGAGGTTTCTAAGGGATTGATGCTCTGAAGTGAGTTTTGGGACACTAAGGCATTTGTTGTCTATGGGCTCCCTTCCTTTTGTACCTTACGCACACGCCCTGTCACAGAAGGGGCTGGGTAAATTACTCTCGTCTATGGAAGTGCATATTTGAAAGAATGTGACTGCTGCCTTTGTCGCCTCCTGTCACAAGCACATTGGCCTAACCCCGTAACCAGCATGTCTTCATTTAGAAGCCATTGTAACTGAACTCTGAAGTAAAAGCAGTTCTCTTTCTCCTTGGTATTTCCAGGGCTATGAGTCATAGGGGACACCATCAAATCTTCATCAGGAAAGATGCCTGGGTAGCTCCATGGCTAACCGTGTTGCTAACTACAAGAAAAATCAGAGCCTCTAAACCATGTTGCACAGACAACTAGAAACAGCAGCTTTCTGGGCAAGGAGGGATTGATAGAAAGCCAGTCTGCATACTATCAGAATCTGACTAGTTAAAAAAAAATCAGTCTTATTTGATGCATACACAGTCAATTAGGCTTCAATTACAAACCCTTCCACATTTAATATAGGGATGATTTTGGCACATTACATCATTCCCCACATTTAGACTGCCTTGGCTGTAGCCATGGCAACCCTTCCATAAAACATAGTCGAGTTGGTACTTTCACTCCAAATGAAATGAAAATAAGGCTAATCCCATTATTGTTCCTAATGATTTTCCCAGTAGCTCCTTCTTAGAGTACCCTTGCTGGTTATCGTCTATCTTTTAAAAACAGATTATTGGAAAATTATATGTGTTAGTGTCCTCACTCTGCTCAGGGCCATTAACGTGTCCTACTGTAGCGGCTGTGTCACCTCATGCTTCGGGGGAGGGCACAGCCTCCTACGTGGCTATTTCGTACTTTTCTTGCAGTTCAGGGATGGGTAAACCTTTTGAATATGCCAATTTGGAACAGTAAACATTTCAGAGACTGTCACTGTAAAAACGATGGTAAAATAACAGTCTTCATAAAAGAGGCCGCGCTATGCATTTGTGGAAAATTTAAAAGGGCACTTCAAGGCATTCTGCTTTATATTTTAAACGTGCCTGTGTACGTTTCAACAGTTATTTAGGAAAACCTTTTCCTTTTCAGCCTTCACTGAAGAGGAATTGGATGATGAGAGTTCCATTTGCAACGTGATGATACGGCCATGGGAAGACACTGCCTTTCTGCAGTTAGGGTAAATTCTGAAGGTCAGCCCCAAATCTCTGTCTTCCCTAACCATCTATTGATGCAGCCTGTGGGCGACATCCTTCTCCAGCCGTCCACCCACCCTGTGGTAGGTCCCTGCTCAAGGCTTACGATGCAACCTGAGTCCCAAAGCTGCTAAAGGGGGCGTCCTGACACGGTGTTAGGCTCAGGCATGGGCTGTCCTGTTAGGGGGACGGTAGGAACATGAAAAGAACATGTACCTTGGAGTCAGAGGCCTCGCGGTTCGGTCTAACTCTGCCATCTCTTGTCCTGTGTGCCTCTCAGCTCCTTCGTCAATACAGGGCAGCTGGCACTAATAACTACCCACGGGGCTGCGGCCGAGCCAACGGGACCCTGGACATCACCGGAAGCATACGATGGCGAACACTGCTTTCTAGCTACTAACGGCCGTCAGCAGAAGCACGCTGACCAGGGCAGCCCAGGTCGTGACACCCGAGGGCACACGGGTCAAAGCCCCCACCAAGGATTTTCCCAAGGACTGCCGTTTTCTCCAGCTTGCTCCCCGATCGTCAGCCTTGGTGCCCTGGCAAAGACCTAGCCAGATCTCAGGGGGCTGAGAATGTGTCCGAGCCTGACCACACACCAAGAAGACAGGCAGTGTCTCCAGCTGCCAGGCCAGTGCTGCCTGCGTGATGAAGATTAGGACTTGTTTCTCTCAGGCCCCACAGGGGTCAGCGGCCCCACAGGCCTTTCAGACAGAACACGAGGTTAGCTTGCCCAGGACCCCTTCCACGCACACGCTCCGAGTCTGATATCAGAGCACCCTGGGACATGCGTCAGGAGAAAGTACGGACAGAGATGAAGCAGAGAGAAGATGCCAGAGGAACCACCGGGTGGGAAGAGAGGGAATGGGCGAGGCTGGCACACGCCCTCCTCACCTCAGCCTCAGTGCCGGAGCGGCTGCGCCTCAGTATCTGACATGGCCAAACCCCGCAATTGTGACAAATTCTGAAGATCTGACTGAGAAACAGATACTGCTTTATATCTTCAAGAATTTAAATTCCCCTTTTCATGCCCCCCAGTAGGATGAAGACCTTACACCCCTTCTAATAGATATATTACAATAATTATATTTTATACACTAAAGGTAATTTTAGTCACACTACTAGTCTTTCAGTAAAGGTCAAAGTACACGCCCTGTAAATCTTAAGATCCTGCTTAGACAATAGTTTTTAGAATAAATGTTGGGTGGTCATGGTAACCATCCTTTAGGTGATTATGTAAAGGCTCAGGCCTTGGTCGCAGTCATTGTAGGTGGAGGTAGTTGGGATAAGTTAGTCTTTAGCATAGAAAAGGTCTAGCTGTACCCTGGAGCATAAGAATTATGAGGAAGTAAAACCCTGATACTAACGGAACAATGGTTAAACTGCCCGGTATAAAAAGGGGCATGCTGTAAAATAAAGGGAGACACTTCTTGAGAAAGCGCTCCTATGTCTCCGTGCGTTTTTTTCGCTGACTCCGCCTCCACCTGAGGGAACCCCTGGACCTGCGGGAGCTGGTCTCCCACAAGTCTGTGTCCTAAGGACAGTCGCGTGGGGCTCTCTTGCCTGCTCAGGAGGGAACCTGATGTGTGTGAAGCAGCCAGAAGCCCTTCTGCCTGGCTGGGCTGCAACTTGATCGGCCTGTTTCACGTCCCTTATTCTCGCTGAAGACTGCAGTGTGGAATTCTGCACCTTACAGTTTCCTTTCTCACAGAAATTAAGTGTGTGCACAAAACTGTTCTCATTGTGGATTCTGAAATCATCAAATTATCATCAAGACACTTTTTTCTCTCTCTCCCAGCCTGACAGCTCACCAGCGAGGTGATCAATCGATACCAATTATCCCTAGAATTGCTCATAAACAAGGCCTTTTTACCGTCAGTCATATAATTTCTGAGAATCAGGCCACCATCGACTTTGTATTGCAGTGATTTTCTGAAAACCCAAACGGTGTGATTTTACAGCTGGGAGAGCGTTGCTTCACTCACTGCATCTCCAACAGTGACTGACAGAGAATAGGCACCCAGGACATGTTTAGCGAATTAACTTAAAAGTCACTTACTACAGCCCCTGTTTATGTAACCAGTTAAATGACTTGTCCCAGGTCACAAGGTTTGTTTGAACTTGGAGTTGAGTTTCGGACACTCAGGTTTCCGTTCAGAATCCACTTACACTAACTTACCACAGAGTAAGGTGGGCGATAATACCAACAAATTCTTCAGTGTTTAAAGTTAAAATTGTATAACCAAATAAGTGCATAGGTAAACTGGCTCAATTTAAAAGTAAATGTAAAACAAAGATGACAGAGGCAGCGGTCACTTTTCTCTAATATAAGTAACGTGGAACATAAGCACGGCACAGCTAATGTGAGGAAATCATTTATCCATGAATACAAACCACTTGCTTTGAGTCTTGGAAAATAAAATAAAATCCAATTTCAATAACTGGTTTAAAACAGGTGGTTTAATCTATAACATGTGTTAGACCTGATATCTTTCCCTTTTAGTCTTTGTACTGATGCAAACTCAAGCCTATAAAAATATTCACAAGCACTTATTTCACAGTCTCTTCTATCAATGCATAAATGGCCAGGGCTCTGCCTCAATTTGAATATGCATATATTAAAGTTAGCTTATTGTTCAAGATCGGAAATAGATAACTCATGCAGTTTTTAAAACTCTAAGAACTTAAATCCTTATACAAACAGTTCAACCTACAACAAATGATTTAACTCAAGTCACACTTTAAGCCTTTCAATATCTATTCTTTAAATTCTCCCATTTCAGTTGCACTTAGAGATGCAGCTAAAGCTCTTTTTGCAACCAAAACCGTGAACTTAAGTCGACTAGAATTGATTAGAGCCATTTTTGGTTTTGTTTGTTTGTTTGTTTTTGTCCTGGCTCCACTGGCGCGCACACCAGAGCGCCGATCGCCGGGGACAGACTCTACACGTACGTGGATGAGTGTTTCTGGTTTGCCCGTGACCCCCTCAGTGGGTGTTTCATTTTGTGCAGCATCTTCACGGAGGAAAGGAAATAGACAACCACGGACGTGACGCAGGGTAGAGCAAGGGTTGGTGGCATGACATTCTAAGATGTCCACAGTCTAAAGACATCAGATGACCTGGCATCAGGCCTGGAGGAAATCCCAGACTGAGCTTGCGGAGCTGCCCTCTTCCCTGTGGCTTTGTGGGGGTCCAGCACGTGGGCACACTAAGCTCCAGTGAAGCACCCCAACACAGAGCTCCTCAGCCCCAAACAGGGGCACAGAGACCTCGTAGGAACGTTCACACCAGTCACAGTGCAGACGGCGTGTTGGTGACCGAAAGAGCAAAGCCAAGACAGAACTCCCACGCTTCCCAGTGACGCTCCCACGGACGCGCCTTGACGCAGCCGAGGGCGGGGGGCGGGGAGACACACTGCGGCCCCAGCACTTACCATATGGACGGCGCCTCCGTGCCGCTGATCTCCAGGAAGTCGTAGCCTTCCTCCAGCTGGAAGTCGGTGAAGACCAGAGCGATGGTGTCCCCGGGCTCGGCGAGGATGGTCCACGTGCAGTCCGCGTTGTTCTCGTACTCGGAAGGGAAGTGCGGGCTGGCGATGGCGCTGCTCGTCCCGCGCAAGGTCCCTCCGCAGGCGCCCTCGGCTGCAAGGGACAGGAGCAGAAGAAGCAGCCCTTTTTCAGACGGACTCATACACAAGGACAGGTCCAGAGGGTCGCTCTCGACCAGTCACACATATTTCCCAGCCCAAAACTGAGGCTCCATCTGACACAGGGTTTCTTTGGATTTAATTCAGTTCTATGGAAAGTCTAACGATAACATCACATTAGAAGCTGAACTGCCGTCCCGGGCAGGAACGCAAGGACGGCGTTTCTAATCTGGACTGCAGGGACGCTGCACGCCTGACGCTCACAGACAGCGCACCATATTTTCCAAGATTTTCTCAGAATCTTGGAAGATGAGACAAAGTCAGTAACACTTTAAGACTTAAATGTATGTGGCCATCTTTTCTTAATTCATTGGCTTTGGAAAAACCATGCTGTTAAGAGAAATAGTCACTCTAGCTTTTGTTTCCTATGGAGTTTGGAATGTGTATTTGGTTTTGAATTTCATATAAGCTCTTGGCTAATATCATAATAGAAACACACTGATTCATAAAAAGATTCCAAGTCAGAAACAGCTGCATGAAAACTTAAAATGGAATATCTTGGAGAAGTGGTGGCTAAGAAGTCAATTAAAATGAAATACATATGAGATGTAAATAAGCATTGTGATAAATAGTAGTTTAAAAAGAAATAGATTTTGGAAGGAAGGGAGGGAGGGAGGGAGAAAAGATTATATTCATAGACATATCTTAAAACGTATCATTTTACAAATACTTGTCTACTCTCTAAACATAGTTTACTGTGTACAGAACATCCTTTAATAGAAGTTGCTACTTTTGTTTCCCACCATATATTATAAAAAGTGCCCAATAAAAATAAACTGAAGAAAACCGAACTGCACTAAAGCGACTGCTGGCGACGTGGTGAGCCTGAGGTGGCACTGCCATTTTGCTCTGGCCTTGCTGTGGTGACACCATGCATCCTGGACAATCAGTCTGTCTTTACAGCAATATGATGCAGACACCATTGTACATCCTCCAAACGTATCTGTCGGTTTTCTGTTGTCACTTGTAGCAGTCAGTCTAGCATAACAGTATTGGTATTGGTGACAGCTCAGAGTTTCAAAGCCAAAAATCTCTCAATCTAAAAGCTCCAAGAAACACATAGGAACGTAGCATCTATATATCCCTGTTCTGATTTTTAATTACATCACCAATTTCCAAGAGAAAAACATGGAAACCTGAGATACACATCATCATGAAATATTCACTCATACCTCATTTTCAGTCATTTGTCAGGCGTGTAAACGAATAAAGATCTCTCTTTTTCTAGGAGACGCCTATAACTCATTGTTGTAGAGTCTCCCAGAAGAAAGAGCTGCAAGGAGCAATTTCTTTTTTAAAAGGATCATTCACAGGTGACACTGAGACCATGGCTTCTTACTGGGACACCGGTGACATCTGGGAACACAGGAGTGTTTGCTCTGGAAGGCTGCCCTTTGCATTGTGGGAAGTTTAACAGCATCCTAGCTGCTGCCCACTAATTGCCAAAACATGCCCCCGCTTGTGATAACTAACAATGTCTCCAGACACTGCCAAACCTTCTTTGGGGTAAAAATCATCCCTGGTGGACATGCAGTTACTTAGATGAATTTGAATAGTGTTTTCCCAGCTCTTTTCAGCGATTTTACACAGAGCCTTTTCAACAGGATGGATTAAAACCATATTCAAATGCAATGTAATATGCTTTCCCTGAGTCAAGGTTAATAATTTATTAGTAGATATTTGGCTAATTTAAATGTATTAAAACATAGGGAGGGCATACATGTTTTCCCTTAAATAATCTGTTTATGTAAAATAAATTAATTAAAAGTATTAGAGTTACTACCATAGTATGTAAAAAAGGTCTCATTTTTGATACACATTACACAGTTTATCCATAAAGAATAAGTCCAGATAAACTAAGTGAATTAGGAAACAGCTATTACATTTCCTAACCTAAAATACTGTGTCTCTTTAGAAGAACCTAAAAATCAGTATAGATATAATAAACTTTTCTTGTCATTTTCATATAACATTTCTCTAACCATAGGATTCATATTTTGATGGAAGATATATGTAATACATATGTATTACATATGTAATACTCTTTTATATGATAAATTACATTTTCAAATTCATAAGTTTATAATCTCTGAGATGTGTTTTGACAAGGCAGGCTTTACTCATATAAACCCTAATAACAATGCAAAAACGCAGTAATATGTTATTCTTAAACACTATGCTAATCATTCATAAATAAAATACTGAAATGAAATGCTCTACTGGAAAACCACAGATCGGTGTTTCAACACCAGATGTCATTAGCCAGATTTAAGAAAACTGGGGCCACAGACCTTTGGTAATCATCTTAATACGGTTTACACACTTACACACACACACACACACACACACACACACACACACGTGAGCACACAACACACAAGAACACTTAAAACTAACTGATCCTCTTGCTTTCATCCTTTCTCCATAATGCGGTGCACTAATTTCAGCCATATTGATGCTTTTAAATTTAACTGGAATCTAAACATTTTCTGTCCCTATCTGTCAGACTTCCTGAATCACCACTCAGACTGACACCAAACCTTGCCAGGACCTGAGAGGTATGCCATGTGGTTTGGCCCGCTGCCTCCCAGGGCCTCATGCCATGCCCCCCACATGCCCACTGTGTCCCCTCTCTCTCCACCTGCTCTGGTCACACTGCCTTCTGGGACCAGAGCCATGTTCTGTTCCTGCCCCAGGGCATTTGCACTTATCACCCTGTCTGAAGTATGCCTCCTCCACCGCCTTGGGTTTCATCATAAGTCTCCTTCCCGGGTCCGCCTGCTCTGATCACCGCAGATCAACAAGCGTCCACTTTCCATCACCCCATCTCTTTGCTTCTTACCATCTCTTTGCTTCTTAGCACTTTTCTACATGCAAAGCATTGGACCACAAGTTTTAAGAGCTCCTCTTTGCACGGGTGTCTCCCCTTCCAAGGAGGGAGGCAGCCTGGAACCCAGCCAACTTTCCTTTCCCCCCACTTTTTCTTTTCCTTATTGAGTGAATGACTCAAGCATTTCCTGTAGTTATATTGGTGACCACAAACCTCTATTCGGTTACCTTTAGAATGAGAGGTGGGGCTATAACAAAATACATTTCTGAGGTTATACATGGCATCAAAGTATACCATTTCTAGAGTAGAAGTCCCAAATTAAGTTAATTTAGTTAGAAAAATAGGTGGTGTTTTGAACTGCGAGGTTTAAAATCAGAAAATTTTCTAAAAACTGCAGCTAGACTGAGTAGAGCAATATTTCAGACAAAAGTTAATTGCCAAGAAGAAAGTTTTGTCATTGTAGCAAGCCACAAGGGGCGGAGTCGGCATGTTTGTTTTGCTTTGTTTGTTTTCAACAAGTAGCTAAGCCAGGATTCTAGGGCTTTTCTTTTTAAACTCAGCAGAGCAGCAGGAAATTTTCAAGAAGAGATAAAGTCAAGGCAGACAGAGGAAACTGATCGAAACAAAACATTATGAGCACGCTTCCTGGCAAATGGAAGAAATACGTCAAGTTCGATAGTTAATCATCTGACATAAACTCAGAAATCACATGTACAAAGTAAAATCTATTAAAACGAATAAGCAATCATTAAACTAATTCTGGCCAATATTTCAATAATATATCAAATATATGGTGATGGAAGGACAACTGACTCTGGGTGGTGAGCACACACCGTGATATATAGATGACAGATTACAGAATTGTACACCTGAAACCTATGTAACTTTACTAACCAATGTCATCCCAATAAACTTTAATTAAAAAAAAAGAAAAAATAATAAGTTATATTAATATAATGTAAGCTCCTTTTAATCCACTGATGTTAATAAGTAATTAAAATGTATCAAAATTTTACTATATCCAGAGGAATTTTTTTTCTTTGGAAGCTCAAAAACTGGGTTGGGGTTTAAGTTAGTAAATTCTATTTCCAGTTCCATCCTCTCCCTCCCCTTTTTCTTATACATTATGCAGAAAGAAAAATAAGTCTGATTCAAAACTGCTAGGTACTTGACTATAAAAATTAGCACACAGCAAATATTTTTTAATGAAATGATGCATATCACTATTGAGTCACTTCACTCAGTATGTTTTAAATTGTGCTTCTAGGACATTTGTTTGAAGGAGTTAGAGGTTCCAAGTAGCAAAATACAGTCAACCGGGTGAGTTTGGCTCCCACAGCAAATATCTATCAGAGCAATTATTTCTTTAAATCAGTTTCCTATATTGAGTTTTCACAAAATCTTGCATTTGAAAAAAATAGTCTATAGCTAAAAAAAGTTTGAATGCCATCAAGCTAATCCAAGAAGAAGATAAGTTTTTAATAAAAGATGCGCTCGAATCTACTGATTTCTGTAAGTGGGGAAAATAATTCCAAATGTAAGCAGGAATCACGGTGCACCAATCTCCCCTAAGGAATTTCAAAACTTTTTAAAAGTTTTACTCTAAACTCTAAAATTATTATGTGCCTTGCCTGGGTATAAATGTTGGTAGAACTATATCTTAAGGGCATAATAGAAAATACAGAATAAAACATTATTTGGAGACACGCTTTGCCATATTTATCATAAAGAAGACTGAAACCCACTAAATGTTTAATAAGAGATAAGTCATTAAATAAAGTATGATGTACCCAAATCCCACAACCATCCAGTGTGTACCAAGCATCTGTGACATTGCTTCAGTCATGTCCTGAGTGAGAAAGTGAAATTTATAAAACATAGGATATACCATTGAGTGGAAAGTCTCTTCTCGATTTTAAAAGTTGTATATAAAAATATCCAGGAAAGGATGAGACACACACACACACACACACACACACACACACACACACTGTTCCGTTTCTAGTACTGGGAGGTGTTCTCTTCCTGCCGCTCCCTGGGGCTGTGCAGAACATGTACCAGCTCGGAAGCCAGGCTGTCTGAGTTTGCATCTGAGTTCTCCCACT